ATATATTTTATTATTAATTATTTTATAAGTTGTTAAAATTTGTTTAGGTTTTTTTAAAATTTTAAATAAGCCTATATTCAGTTCTGGGAAGTTCGGGGGGGGAGGGAGGGGGTGGTTTGGGAGGGATTGGGTGAGGGTTGTTTTGTTTTTTTTTTGTTGTTATTTGTAAAACTTTTAAAAAATTTTCAATAAAAAAAAAGAAGTCTTCTTTCAATGTATGGAGAAGATGGATAGAATATGTTCAGAAGAAGTATGGAACTACAAAGTTTCATTTATTTTATGAGTAATGAATTTGTTTATAAACTTATGATGTTAAAGTTTGAAGAGAGTTAAGGGTTAGTATGATTTTGGTTATTGTATAATTAGTAAACTTAAATAGATTATGTTTAGTATATTTGTATAACCCTGTACTTAGCTCTGGGAAGTCAGGGGGGAGGGGGGTGGGGGAAGGATGGGTTGAAATTTTAGTAATTCAGATAAGTAGAAATAGTTTTTATTGTAGATAATATTGAGGTTTCAATTTGGAGAGAGGAATTGCTCGGGCATTTCTCCCGAACTGCATCCGGAGTGAGAGGATAGAAGAAGGTGAGAAGTAAGTAGGAAGGTGGAGGAGAGGGGGTGAGGGAGAAAGAGAAAGAAGAGGGAAAGAGGCAAGTTGGTTAGAGGGTGGATGCAGTTTGGGGGGAAATGGGCAAGCAATACCGAAAATGGTGTGTATTAATTTGTTTTATTTTTTATCTGAAGTATTTTTAAGATTGTATTGTATTGTAAAATTGAAAATAAAAATTTTTTACAAAAAAAAGTCTTCTGTGGGAACAAAATAATGGAACAGAAATAGGGAAAAGTTAAACAATCCTTCTGCAACTTGAGTGCCCTCTAAATATTGAGGCCTTGGCTCCTCGAGTTTTCAGCAGCAGCTTTCATACATCTGGGAGCCATATAAGCTGAGAAAGACTGGAATAAACCAATGCAATTCTCTGCCCCCTTTTTTACAGAAGGATGGGTGGTAGAAGGAGGGAGAGAACTAAAGAGTTTTGTCAACTAAAATCTCTTTTCTAGCTTGGGATATCTGCTTTTTTAATCATATGAAGTGATAATAAGTTGCCATGAAATCTAAGTTAAAATGTTTAGGGCTATTATATTCGGGTGGGGAAAAAAATCTACTGACATCTGATTCCCAAAGCTGGTAGTTATAGAATTATTTTGGCCAATTAAAGTGATTCAAATATTTGCCATAAGAAGCCACTAGATGGAAACCCTGCTTCATTACTTTACTATTTAGGAGCCAGAACAGCAACCATAAATGTGGGGTTTCATTGATGACAAATTATTTGAAGTATAAATCAAGACTTTCATTTTCTTTGGCCAGTCTCCAGCGGATAAATTATGCAAAGAAATATTTCTGAATGCCATTGTCAACTGTTTGTATTGAAATAAGGGAATGTTAGAATAAGTGGTTGCTAAACATCTCATAACAAATTGACTCTGGGTGGTAAATAAATCACTTGATCACAAATAAACTAACCACATCTACTAGTTTTCTTGTCCTGGATTTATTAAAGCATTTTTTTTTTTTTTAGTATCAAGGGTAGAAAGATAAAAAGAGCCAAGCGTACACATATTGGTTTCAACCATCCTTCCTGCTATTGTTTATAGGAAGAAAAGCAGGGTCCTGAAAATGAACAATTGGCTACAAAGGTGGTATTTGGGGGAAATTTTGGGATTCCTGGATCATAATTCGTATTACTTTTAGAAAAGATTCCTAGGCAGGTGTAGGAGGTACCTCAAAAGGGCAAAGAAAATGTGCTTAGCAAAAGCTTTGTTAACCTTAACAGGAGGCTTTTTAATTAAACCAGAAGACAGAGGGAGACAGAAGCACCAAATCAGGTAAAGAAGTGATGGCATTCAGAATAGGGCTCCGGGTAATAATCAAGGAGGTGTATAGCAAAATTATAGATTTTATATGTAACTGAATACAAAAGCAGAAACTGAAGAGGGTAGTCAAGCTTCAAATTATCCAGCTCAGTGTGGATCAGTTAATTTGCATTAGCATGTGCAAACCTTCCTGTTGATTGTGATGGGAGGCAGATGACTGCAGATGCCAATTTGGGAATAAATATACTATGTTATATAATTTTAGTAACCTTAAGAAAATCTTGTCAGTTGTCTGAACATTCCATACTGCTATATTTCACATTAAAATAGAAATGCTACTTACAGATCCCTAACTTAATAGTCATTTATTATGTTCAGTCCTCTTGCAGTTTACAAAATCAGAAGCATGTACCTCATTTATAAATTGTAAGGGCACTTAATTACTGGGCTAGAGCCTTCTCCCTATCTGATCCACAATTTGTCAAGTGGTGTCTCCTGGAGCAAATGAATTTGTCCATGCCTTCTTGCAGCAGCCGGATTACATTTTTATCCAATCATATGCATACCTTTGGTTTTTCTCTGGAATTCTGTTCAAATTTAAATTATGCAAACAATAATCTAGTGTTTGAAAACAAGGTGCTGAATGTCTGAAATTTGTTTAAATTATCCCACTATAAAATTGCCCCTTGGTACACAGTTCATAAAACCAAAAATTAATGTGAACATTATCTGAGGTGGACTCAGCTAGAGAGGGCTGATTTCTCAATATCACATTTAATATATGCTTCTGCCCTTGCTCCAAGTAATTAATATAAGATTTTACCCATTATTTTTTGTATTGCCCTATTTCTCCTTCAGCATCTGGAAACTTCAGGTTTCCCTCTTGGTAAGCAAATTATTTTGGCCTGATACATATAAAATTCAATACCTAATGAATTTAGATTAGAAGACAATGCTACAGAAATTAGCAAGCTTTGCATGGGCTGATGCTAAACAGAAAAAGTATTTTATCAATATCAATAATATTGTATTTGCTGTAATAACACTGTTTTAATGTTTTTACTCATTTTGTACATTTTAATTTTTTCATTAATATTTTGTGCAGGTTTTATCTTATCTGTTACATCCAATGGTCAAAACAATAACTTGAATTCAATTGGGGGAATAAATGATGGTTCAATAAAGAGATAAGACATTCCAATTGCAACTGTTTGTTGCAAGTCAAGAGAAAAAAAAGCATCATAAAAATTAATCATAGCAGCAGTATTCTTTACTATTATCTAAGATCTACTCTTGGGTATAGGAAATTCATCTTAGTTTAAGCCACTTTTGAAAAATAGTCAAGGCACTATTCCATTTCATATGATAGATATCATTAGAAAAAACCAAAATTAAAATAATTCACACATTGTGCTAAACTCAGTATGTTGTACACAATTTGTTGTACAAATTCTTCTAAGAATTTGTTGCCATTCTATGTTATAAAATTTCAGGAGCTGGAGAAAGCATACATTATTAATTTCATTATAATTTCCATGATATGTATTTTTGTATGAGTATATTCATTTAGTAAGACTTTATTATGTTTAAAGTTTCCTCAGCTTGTTTTACATGAGTTTTAACTTATTTACAAAATAAAATGTGTTGGTGTACATAAGAAAAAAAGATGTCCCCACAGGTTTTACCCTATAATTGCCCATCTCCTTTTCTTAAGCCAAAGAGATAACATTATCTGCAGAAGTTTCTGTGGTCATGTGGCCAGCATGATATCATGCTGCAGCACAGAGTGTACAGTGAAACACTGAACACTGCTATCTTCCTGCAGGCTTATATGTGTTACCTATTCATCTACTTGAATGTGCATGCTTTCGACCTACTCGGTTGGCAGAAGCTGGGACAAGTGATGGTAGCTCACTTCATCTCACAGCACTCGGGTCTCGAACAGCTGAGCTGTAGATCTTTAACAGTCTAAGATGCAGTGTCCTAACTACTGAGCCACTGTTGGTGTTCATAAGGCACACAAATGTAAGGACAACATATTGCAACTTCAAAAACTGAAACAAAAGTCCTTGTTTTTGTTAATTATTATTTTGTTAACTTTGAAGGCTATGAAAAGAAAATAACTTGATTTTCAGAGGATTAATAGCAATGGACTTCTCCATTCATAAAGAGAACTTCTCATTCCACCTCTAATTTCTTTGCTTTCCTCAGTGCTAAAGCAGATGCCTCCAAAAGGTTTTCAACACTCCATGCTATTCTTGGTTTTTGTTAGTCTATTCTGCAATATTCTTTGGAAAACTTGGAAGTTGCCCAGACTCTAATTAGCAACAAGGGCAAACTATGTGTTCTCACAGTACAAATAGTCCTCAATTTATGATTGAAATTGAGCCCAGAACTATGCTCGTAAGTTGTGCTAGTTGTCAAGCAGGTCATCACATGACCAACTCAATTTTACATTTTATGTGATGGTCCTTAAGCAAATCACCGATTGCTAAATGGATCCACCACAGTTGTTAAACAAATGCGACAGTCATTAAGCGAACCAACTGTCCACAATGGGTAATTTTCACTGGAAACTGGAGATAAACACTAGTATCTGGCAAAAAAACATTGTAAATTGTGGTCACATGATTGCAGGATGCTGCAAATGGCTGTAAATGTGGGCAGGTTGCCGAGCACCCAAAATATAATCATGGGGGGGGGAGCTGGGCGACAGCCAGGTGGTCATAACTCTGAACAGTCACTAAGCCATCAGTCTTAAGCCGAGGACTACCTGTAAAAATTCATGTTATTCCTTGTTTAAGAGATGATCTATATATTCAACAGGACAGATAACACCTAGTTCAGTGATGGCGAACCTTTTAAAGACTGAGTGCCCAAACTCCAACCCAAAACCCACTTATGCATCGTCGGGTGCCGGGTGGGTGTGGCCCATTGGCTGGGTGGTGGCCAATTGGGGGTGTGTGACTCATTGGATGGATGTGGCTGCAGTGGTAATGGCAGACTGGGTGGGACTAAAAAGTTCAATCAATCAATTCCAACTTTGCAAGATCTTTTTTTTTTCCCCGTGAGAAGTTGAGATTGACTGATTGAACCCTTTTTTTTTTTTTGCACACGGTGGCAGAGGCCTAAAGCGAAAAGGTTTTATAAAACCCAGCTGAAGGCCTAGGACTGGAGCGACGGTGCACGTACTCACAGAGAGGGCTCTGAGTGCCGCCTTTGGCACCCGTGCCATAGGTTCATCACCACTGACCTAGTTTATTCAGGAATGTCCAGAATAAACTGGAAATATATCAAGTACATTTTCCTTTATGGAAAAAACATCCAATCCCAGCAAAGATTAAGAGTTCTCATTAGGCCAAGCGACAAAAGCTTTGTCTCCTCAGAACATTCTTTTGTAAAATTCGGAGCCTTGACATTATTACATCCCAGTCTGCATAGGCTCCTTCAAGATGACGGGATATTTCTGCTCCTGCCTGGTAACTCTGCCGACCATGAAGTAAACGCCAATTATCAAATACTACTACGTCACCTAGAAAGAAGGCAAAGAATTATTTTAAAATAAAATCTGTGGTAAATACATCTATACTAATTAGAGATATGATGGAGCAAAAAGGCTTACTGATACAATATTTGGAACTACTGAAGCCAGTAATTCTTTACATACAGCTTAATTTCTGATGATTGCATTGGTATGCAGTTTTCTTGGCAATTTTTGAAAAAATAAATAAAAGCAGTTTGTCACTGCTTTCTTCTGAGATTTTTTTCCTGACTTCTCAATGTAGCCTATAGCAGGGGTCTCCAACCTTCAGTCCGTGGACCGGCACTGGTCTGTGGCATGCCAGAAACCAGGCCATGCAAACAAGCGAAGGCCCATCCACGAGATGCAGGCAGCACACAAAACCATGCTCCCTCTGGTCTGCGGAAAAACCTTTCTCCACGGAACTGGTCCCTGGTGCCTAAAAGGTTGGGGGCCACTGGCCTGTAGCATTCAAGTTCTCTAGTGACCACTTACTGAAGTACTACTGTAGGAGCGTAGTGGCTTGTGTGGTTGGACTGCTGGGCAGGAAGTTAACAAGCCCGCGTTCAAGAGCTCCTGTGGGATGGGGTTGAGCTCTCGTCCTTCACTCCAGCTCCTTCTGAGGAGATGAAGAGCCCCCAACTGGGCATTCCTAGGACAACAGTGATGTCACCAGTTAACCCTTTCAACCTGGAAGCGCCTTGGTGCTTCTGACACAAGTTCAAAAAAACCCCTGAAGTACGAATTATTTCCAACCAAAGTAGGCTTGGCACTGCCAAATGCACTTAATATGCAAATATTAGGAGAAATCTGTTTCAGGTGCATTTGTATATATGAGTGTCCATCTCTTTGTCTCCACTATCATTTCAGAATGCATTTGAAGAAAAATGAGCACTGCATGTGATAGGTAGGCAAAAAGAAAAGATTTATATCTCAAATTACTTCCTCTGCCCATTCCCTTCCCTGGCTCTCTCCAAAAAGCTGGAGAGGATTGGCAACAAAACAAATAAGGAGTCCCAAAGGTGCTTTTTCCAGAAGGCTACTGGACTTTCTTGTTTTTTTTTTCTTTGAAAATGTTTGGCTTTTCATCCAAGAAGTTTCTTTAGTTCTTTGGGACAACCATGACCAGGATGATTGAAAATCCCCATAGATAAGCCAATAAGGAAATTTATTATTCTTGCTAATAAAAAAAATAATTAATGAAAGAATCACATGGGATACAAATTTATACAAAAATACAATATCTTTTGCCTGGAGCCCCCCTTGTATCTGAAAAAAATACCCTTAATAGTTGGGGAATTTTCTGAAGGAGTTTTTGTTTATTTCCTCCTATTTCTACTGAAAGAGACTTTTAAATCAATTGAAAAAAAAAAACGATTACCATTTCATCCAGGCCTACCTGGCTTCATTTTGTATGAATATTTATAATCCGTGCTATTTAGGAGATCAACATAGTCCTTGAGAGCAGCATAAAATGGCTTTACTTTTTCTGCAGGTATGTCAAATATTGTATCTCTGGTTGCATTGTTAAAATTGATACGAACCACTTGGCCCTTTTCATCTACACTGTTGAGAAATGAGAGAACAATTCAGATTATCCTCAAATTTTTCAACAGTTTTATGTAACACCATTCTTCATTCACTGTTTTTATAAATGGATTAGGATTATAAACCTTATAATAAATAAACTATGAAACTTACAATAAATTAACTGCTATATGGTAAATAATTGAGAATCTGACTGGTTCAGTTTACTAAAGCAATTAAATTTCCTTATAAATTTGAGATTAGGGAAAAGTTAAAAATGAAAGCAAAAATGGACAGATTTAGTTCATCCTGGCAGAGACAAGTGTTTTGCTTTTAAATTTTGAGGCTTCATTATACAACTATATGTTTGATGTGGCATTGGATTGCTATCACCTCTCTTAATACTAAAAGTGTCTCAACTGTAAAAAAAAAATCCTTATAAAATTAATGTAGGAGAAATTAAACAATTTGCCCATTATAAAGCTTCCATCTATATCTATATCCATATCTATATCCATACACACACTACACATCTTCCACGTCCCTCCCTCCTTCTCTCTCTCTCTCTCTCTCTCCCCCTCCTTCCCTCCCTCCCTCTTATGAACAGCACATACATTTTTAAAAAGCTGATTTGTATTCCTATCCACAAGGTGGCAGGCATAGCCTTAAACAGTTTTTATTTTGTTCAATGACATTGACTGCCCAGGGTTTCACCAGTGAGATAAGATGGCCTTATAAATGTGCTAAATAAATAATGCAAAAATATACTTTTGCTTGCAATTCAGGAATAAGCATCAGATGAAAAGATACAATATCATTCAAAGTTACCTACTCTATAATTCTTTGTTTGGATTGCATGGCAAAATCACAGTAATCAACTCCAATGTCTGTGAAATCTACAAATGTAGAGGTCAAGATTTTAAAGGCATAAGGATTTTGCTCCTTAAACTTATTGGCTACATGAAATCCATCCACAACTTCACTCTCCCCTCCAGTAGAAGTTTGTTTTATACAATGCAGAAACTGAATCTGGAAAAAATTAATATCAGGTTATTATTATAAATTCAACATTATGCTCTACATTTATATTTTATATCATCAATGTTTTTAGAAGTTTCATTACTATATAACATGACATGGTTTAATTCTTTAAAAATCACAAAACTAGAAACATACAGAGACTATAAAGATTGTTTGCAAAACTTTTTGTTCAACTATGTTTTAAAAAATTCTTACAAGCATTTCAAAGTAATATCTTGGTGTGATTCTTGGCATAAATCAGAATATGAACTTCCTTTTCTTTCCCATTTGAAAACTTCCCCTTGATTGCCATACCATATGTACTTTTACAACCTCTAAATGAATTTTCAACATAACTCCCAAATCTGAAAAAAATGACATCTATTTAGTAGCACACAATCTGCTTAATTCATCAAAAGTATGATACCACAGATTGTTTGAAGGCCTTGAGTAAAAATTTCCTACAGCAACACACAGACCACATTAATCTCCCCATCTTTGCAAATACAGCAAGAATGCCAGAAATATGGGCAGCATTAGAAGTTCAGTAGGTTATTAAAATACTGAACAGAAATACATATACATATTCTCCATTGAAACATTCTCCCATGAATCCATTTGAGAAATCCTAAGCATTTCTCTGCAGTGTACATTTATTACAGCAACAGATGCATTGTGAGCTGAATATAATTTAGTACATGGTTGATTTAAAGTGATTATGTAGAAAATAACTTGGAATCAGTATAAACCTCACCAGAATTGGTATTCACAAAGGCCAATTTGCCCCATTTGGAGCTGTTTATAAATTTAAATAGAATGATTACATTGAATTAGGGCTCTGACTGCTACATGTGGTAGTGGAACCCTCTTCAGATCTCACTGTTTTCTATTAGGGACTTAAATGATGTTAACTTTGCATTACTTTAGAATCTTCTCAATGCAATGTTGCAGAGCTCTAGCTTTTTTCACTCTTATACGAAATATGAATAACTTTGTCAGCTAAAAATTCAGGATATGTGACATAAATAACACAATAGGTAACACAATATTACAAACTGTGTGCATCTGTGACTATATATGAGCTAATTAAAACTGAATTGAGAAATATAACCTCAAACAAAATAGTGTTCTCCAGATGTTTTGGTCTCATCAGCCTTATGACTATGGTGAACTGCAAAATATTGCAGCTGTTTTATGTAAAATGTCTGAATGAGTACAAGGTTTCTTATCTCAGGAGTAACAAATAATACACTTTATGAACTGGCAGAAGCAAAGCTATATCTGGAAGTAAGGTCTGGTACTAAGTGCTATTGTATTACCAGTGCTATTTAAAATTTATCTGAAGCTATTTGTACCAAAATTACGGAACTAAGAGCAAGATATCATTTAAACAGAAGAGGTTGTCCACTACCTAGAGAAGCATTTGAGCTCAGGAGTGAACTAGACGATGACCAATAAACTTGTAGTGGAATCCTGTGAACCAATGGTGCCCAAATCAAGAACTATTTGTTCTCAATTTTCAGAATTTACTGAATTTAGAGAATAACAGAGTTGGAAGGGACCTTGGAGGTCTTCTAGTCCAACCCCCTGCTCAGGCAGTAAACCCTATACCATTTCAGACAAATGATTCTCCAATCTCTTCATAAAAATCTCCAGTGTTGGAGCATTCACAGCTTCTGGAAGCAGGCTATTCCACTGATTATTTGTTATAATTGTCAGGAAATTTCTCCTTAGTTCTAGGTTGCTTCTCTCTTTGGTTAGTTTCCATCCATTGCTTCTTGTCCTACCTTCAGGTGCTTTGGAGAATAGCTTGACTCCTTCTTCTTTGTGGCAACCCCTGAGATATTGAAACACTGCTATCATGTCACCCTTAGTCCTTCTTTTCATTAAACTAGACATACCCAATTCCAGCAACTGCTCTTTATATGTTTTAGCCACTAGTCCCCTAATCATCTTTGTTGCTCTTCTCTGTACTCTTTCTAGAGTCTCAACATCTTTTTTACATTGTGATGATAAAAACTAGATGCAGTATTCCAAATGTGGCGTTACAAAGGCATCATAAAGTGGTATTAACATTTCACATGATCTTGATTCTATCCCTCTGTTAATTCAGCCTGAATCTGAAGCACAGTTAGTTACCTATTATTATTATTTGCCTTTCATAAATCAGTTGCCTATTTTTGGACTTGGAAAGCTTGACTATTAGGTTTCCTGCAATGAGCATCTCAAAATTGGATCATTATGATGAGCTTTGTGAACTTGGGAATAGTTCAGAGCTGCAATTAGTTCAGAAAACACTAGGAAGATGATTAAGCATATCTGAGTGTGTTAATGAGCCAGCTTCAAGATGTTAATGTTAATTCACAAAGCTCTAAACAATTTGGAATCAGATTAACTCATTAATACCATTATTTGTATAAACATTCAGGAGCTTCCGGAGAGGATCTACTGTTCATGACACAGTTATAAACTGAGTCCTATGGGAAGTTCTGCCATAGATGCCAACGTTGGTGTGATTTAAATTTTCTTTAAAAACATTCTTATGTTGGTCTTCTCTGAATAAAACTCAGGAGCTTCCTGTTTCTACTCTGGTGCCTTTAACCATTATGCCAAACTGGCTGTAATACAATATAATACATGGCTTAAGATAATAAAATATTGCTATTACGATGCTATTTATTTTCCTGCTGTCTTGCTTTTTATGTTTCTCTTACCCCTGGTGGAAATTGTAGAACAGGGTAATCGGTATGAAAACTTAGCTTCTCAGATGTGTACGCCACATTGTTGGCATCCATTTTGTCTTGCACTTGCCAAGTAGGCCTTGATAATGAACAAGAAATGAAAAACAAAAGTATAATAATCCGCTTGTAAAAATCTAGATGCAAATTATACAGATCCAAAAACTGAATAATCCTAAAATTAATATCCACATTAAATTATCAATGTCTCACTGTTTTTTATCATTTTGGTAATAGCATTTATTAAACTTTAAAAATGCAGGTAATAATTGCTTGAGATGGGGAGGATAATGATTGCGATCACAGGTGACAGGGAAAAGAGAACAGAGGGTTTGAATTTCTTCTTCTTCTTCACCCTGCAAAACTGCTCTTTCCTTTAGGGGAAAAGCAACTAATAACACATCTGGAAAGGAATGTTCAAGTCTGAAATTCCCTTTCCTGAAAAATAATATCCTCTGAGCTCTTGTTTGTATTATCCATGTAAACAATTAACTAGCAATGCTTTGCATCGGCTAATGTCTATAACAGTCTATTTGTCTTTCTTTTCTGAACTCAGAAGGAAATTCCAACCTCTAATTGTTATGCTAAAGGATGCCAATGGACAGATAATAGCCAATTCCAAAAGATCCAAGAAAGATGAAAGGAATATATTGAAATACTGTACAGTACTTATGTCAATATCCAATATATTTTAGAAAATACTTCCTATTTACAAGAAATTCTAATACTAGAAGATGAAGCACATCAACACCCCAGTCATTACCAAATCAGAAGGCTACAGGCCACAAAAATATGACAAGCACCAAAAAAAGAATCAATAAAGGTTTCTATGAGGATATGCCAGTAAATTTGGAGAATGATACAGCAGCCAACAAACTGAAAGATGTCAATCTATATACTGGAATATAGTAAGGTGATGTAACTACTATGAAATATCCTTAATGCAAACTACTGTGCAATATCCTTAATGTCACATGCTAGTAGAATAATGTTTAGGATGGTGTAATACAGACTACAGCTCTGCTTGGACATGGGTAATGTTCAAATGTTTAGAAAAGGGTTAGAACAAGTGATATTACAGCTGATGCATACTACATAATTGCAAAGTCAAAGAAGACTAAAAAAATCAAGTCGGTATGTGTGTTACTCTGATTATAAGAAAGGTCCCTGATTGTGTCAGTCACATCATGTTGCTGAATGTGCTAGAAATCCCACAACATCCCATTGTCTTCATGTGAATCCTTTATATAAGTGAGGAAGGTAAAATATGGAGAGAACAAACTAGCTCCAGGTTAGCAAAGGAACAAGAAAGGCTGTATACTCTGAGAAACGCTAACAATATGAATTCAACATACATCCACTCCTAGTTTGGGGACTACATTGTTTACATTATTATTATTATTATTATTGAAATTAAGGATAAATTTTGATTTAGTAGGCTACAATGATCAATGACATTCATAGTAATTATAATGCAAACGTGTTTGCACTGATTAATTTTTGTCTCTTTCATTTATAGCCTCTTCTATATTTTACATCTATCTTATTCAAATGCTCCTTAAATTTCTATTTGTAAATACAATGGTAATAAATGGTAATACAAAAATAATTTTCCAACCAATTTGCACATTAACCACCAAATATTGTGATGCGCTGAGCTTGCTAACTTGGAGTTAGCACTTTTTAGGGAAGTACTGCACTGCAGAGAAAAACAACTCAGAAAGAAGTAACTTGTTTAAGCAATCTCTCTGCCCTGCCAGTACCCTAACTGTTAATGGCTTACAGATATATAAAGTTCATACTATACATTATTCCACAATTCTGTAATGATTCTTTATTGTATTAGTACAATTCACCAGTTTTACATGCCCTGTTAAGCTAAAAATCATAGTTTATACAACATGTAAGCCCAATTTATTGATCAAAATTTGTCTGGACAACCATTTGTCTGAAATGGTATAGGGAGTTGAACTAGAAGACCTCCAAGTTCCTTCCAACTCTATTATTATTATTATTATTATTATTATTATTATTATTATTATTATTATTGAAATTAAGTATGAATTTTGATTTAATAGGCTACAATGATCAATGACATTCATAGTCATTACAATGCAAACACGTTTGCGCTGATTAATTTTTGTCCCTTTCATTTATAGCCTGTTCTATATTTTACATCTATCTTATTTAAATGCTCCTTAAATTTCTATAGTATTTGCCCGTCTTTTAGATATGAATGTTACTCAGATGACAGCTGTAAACTTAACATGGCGTAATTGTTTAAAACATTTTTAAAGAGAAATAAATTCCTTCCAAAAAGATAATTAAAAATCCATTCAATTCATAATCCATCATATTTAAATAAATGCATTAACAGTTAGAATCTTTCTGGCTTAGTAATTAATGTTTGGATGTAAAAGGGATTCTGGTATGACTATTAAAAAACATCCTCACAAACGGAAGAAATTGGTTTTGAATACAACAAAATATTGTGCTCAGTTAGATACAGAAAATGCTTGTATCTTTTGTTCCTTAAAACTAGCTGCCTTCTTCTTAATTCTTCTTCACAAAGCAGCATTTCTGAAATTTCAGATAAAGAGGGTATGAAACTTTTCAAGTCTGAAATGCTGTAACCTGAAAGTATTGCTGTGTAATGAGTACTACTGTAGTCACATAAATCAGTGTATCTTCCACAAACATCCTTTGTGGAATGATTCCACTGCAAGTTTAGTCAAGTGAAAGAATGAGAACATGATTGCCCGCAACTTGACTCGTGCACATAGATAAAAAACCGTGCCAAAGGTAGAATACTACAATTTCACCTTCAGTGCTAGCAAGACACTTTTAAAAGCAACAGAATTGCATGATGCAACCATGAAGCTTCTTCTGAATAGCAACATCTGTCTGTTTGCCTGCCAACAGAGACATGTATACAGAAATCATGAACAAAGAATACTGGCCATGTTGCATAGAGAGATTTACTGTATGCTACAGCAGAATGGGTATTATGGAGCTAGCACTATTTGCATTCTCCAATGGGTCAGTTGGTGGTTACACTGATGGTTCAAATCTCAGTGATCTGAGACAGGTAAAATTAAATACTATATGAGTGTGCTCCAAATTTTCTGAAGGACCCAGGAGCAGAAACAGCACAATATAAACATGAGGGTGATTTTTCAGTAAGTAAATAAGAGAAGGGAAAGAACTTCTTTTGCTTCCTTTACCCTCTTCTTCAGATTGCAAGAAAGCTGTAATTTTCCTAAGCCAGAAAAGTTTTAGAAAGCCATATCATGGTTTAATATTAACCAGAACTGCCCATATGGTGTTTCACTTTCTACTTCATTTTCACCTGAATACTTTGCTTTGATGCAACATAGAAACGAACTGCTTGGAACAGCTTGTTCTTTATTATCTCAGAGTTGGCTGAAAAAAACTCTGCAGCTATCCTAAGTTTCCCAAACGCTTGCTAATAGCTAGGAAATAACTTGAGGGTCATAAAATATTCTGAATGAATCTATTTGTTCCCCACACATCTACAAATTATCTGGTTTCCTTTTGTATTGGTGCAAAAGATAACAAAAAATGCTAGAATGGAGACATAGAGTGAAAAAGAAAGAGAAAAAAAATCTGACCTAAGTTTCAAGTTGTGGGAACTTGAGGGAGAAGGGATGAAGCGTGCTGGTTGAAGAACAAGGAAATAGCAGGAATTGATAGAAGAAAAAAAAAGAGCTTTAACAGCAGGAAAGTTTGGAACCCAATTAGAAAACCAGACAATGAGCAGGCAAAATGGAAGAGCACTAAAATGCAGCAGCCAATCAAGTAGCAACCAAAGTATCTATCTATCTATCTATCTATCTATCTATCTATCTATCTATCTATCTATCTATCTATCTATCTATCTATCTATCTATCTATCTATCTCCATATCCATATTAATCACTGTCCATTTTGAATACATAGTGGAAAGAGGAAACTTGAGAGTTCACAAAGTTGATGCTTTATGGAACAAAACTGTGACTGAATCTGGATGTTCTGCTTTAGATACCACAAAGCCTCCTCCCAGAAGATAACAAGGAAAGCAGGTACCTTATGCAAGTAGCCATGTATTACAGCATACTAAAACCAGAGATACATCTTTTAGATCTAAAAAGGTTCCAGTCAGTATACCACAGTTAAAAACTTTACAAGCATGCAATCTTCAACTAAGTTTTATCCATAACAGAAGAATGACTCAAGGTTGGACAGGTTTTGGCTGGAAAAGTCATCCACGGTCCAAATGCTGAACCTCATCACACTGAAGATGGTATGAGAGACATTAAATCACAGCATGGTGTTTATGTAATCCTCGGAGGCTTAAGACATTGCCACGGTACAGAAATACTAAAAATTCTCAGTAGCTTCCTCTTCCTAAATGTGTAATTACTATACAACTGAAACCTACACTCCACCAAAAGATGAGATGAGCAGTGTGATATAGTTTTTTGTGTGTTTAAAAAAAGTTCACCATCCCTTTTAAATTTTAGCCCTTTTCACATCATTTTATTTTATGTTCTTACACACAGTCTTCATTCAGTGCATTTTGCTCCTCTTGTCTTCCCCACCCCCTTGGCTAATCCTCTGCCAAACATTGCCTGGTTAATTTATCACATATTCACTATCCATTACAGTCAACTGGCAGAAATGATTTTTCCAAACCATTGCTTTGCTATTTTTAACTTGGAACAAACTCTTCTATTTAACAAGTATTAACTTGCTCTTTGTGGGAACTTCAGTATAGCTAAACTTGGTTGGTCATAGTCAGTTAACTCAAACCCAAGTAATTAAACTATTTTGTAATTATTTTTTTCCTCTCTCTATCTTTGTGGGTGAGTGGGTGGTATGTATGAATGAATGAGAGAGAGAGAGAGAGAGAGAGAGAGAGAGAGAGAGAGAGAGAGAGAGAGAGAGAGAGAGAGAGACATAATAGAATTATAAAATAAATATTTTTCTCTACATGCAAGGGTGATATATTGTAGGATACAATAAAATCTATCTCCTTCCTTCCTTCCTTCCTTCCTTCCTTCCTTCCTTCCTTCCTTCCTTCCTTCCTTCCTTCCTTCCCTAGTTTTATTTGTGTAACTTAATTTTTTTTTAAGTTACTAGACTTGGAATTATTCTGAAATTATCAGAAAAAAAAAGAGAATCTATTTCAAAGTGGCCTGTAACTTGGAAATACAACATGAGATGGCACATCCAGTGCCAGTGAACTTCTGCTGGAACATAATGACGTCCTCTACTTTTGAGAATGTTTTTCTGTATAGACTCCAGAAATGGCTTTGATTTCCAATTTTTATTGTTCCAATAGAAGTGGATATCTGTAGCTCAGGTTTTAATTGTGGAGTTCTTGGTACTCAGAGATCATCAATTGCTCCACAATTTTACTGTTTATAACAAACCATTTCTGCCTAAGGGATGAAGATGTAGTCATTTTCCTTCAATTATTCACAACTACTTTTCCTCTCCATTAGTAACTACATGACAAATGAGAGATAAAACTCTACGTTATTAGTTTTCAGTATTAGAGTAAATTTGGATGTATATATTCTTCCAGTTCCCAACATACAAACAATTTTCTTACAAGCAGGTTATGTTCTAAGATGCTGTTCGTAAGTCCATTTTGTTCATAAATTCAATGATGCATATTTTTTAAAAATGCACGGTACAGTTCTTACCTTACATAACTTAAGTCACATTTTTTCTCCACCTGATCAAGTGCAGACTAACCTTAATCCTCACGCCCTCTAAGCACCAGCAAATGCCTTGACTTCCTCCCAACCCTTGCTTATAGTATGGCCAAGGGTGCATCTTCCCAACCAGTGCAGGGAGATCAGTTCTGGGTCCAGAAATCCTTTACTGCATTGACCCACTGCAGCTTTGGCTACCAGTTCTAGGGCTGGCCAGTTGTTCCATAGGGACTGTCATTAGGGAAAGGCCATTGGCAAGACAATCAGGTGCTGCCATTGTGTCACCCATGGGCAGAGGACTAAGGTATATACTGGTTGGTCTTGATGCTATGAACAGCTGCCGGCCACTCTTCACTGTGTCATTCTCCATGGGAATAAGGGGGAGGGGTGAGTTTGATCGAGGTTCCCAGTGACAAGATGCCCCTGACCCCAGATCCCTTTGACCATTTTCTTGTGCAGCCATGTTTTCCCACCATAAGCCTTTTTGTCTCCATGGTGGCTTGACTCCCCCCCTCTTTTCCATGTGATCGCGTTTCTTCCTATGTCAACATTCAAGTGGAGCAAACTTCTCCCCATCCTGGTGACTTTTTCCTATCCCAGGGGGCTTGAACCCTCTTTTAGACTCTGGTTGGTCAAGGCATTCTGCCAGCTCTGCACTTTAGGAATGGGCCACAGCCAGCCTTCTTGACAGTAGACTTGTGGGGTGCCATAAACTAAGCCTTTGATGCCTTCTTCTACTTTCAAGGACCTTCTAGGTTGGAATTACAAGCGTTTGTAATTTGAAAGTTCACAAGTAGGGAATTGTCTGTACTAGCCATTTCCAACCATGGACTATCAATCTCTATATTGTCTGGCAATTGCTGTGTGCAGGGTGCCAATTTGGGTAAAACTGGCGAAGCCAATGCTGCATATCCATATCCAGCTGGGTAACTTTGGGTCACCCACTCTCTCTTAGCCCAATCCACCACACAGTTATGTAGAAGAAAAGGTAGAATAAAAATCTAATAATGATAATCTGGATTTTGGCAGTCAGATATGATAATCCTACCAACAAAAACCAAAGTTTCAAGCTTGCCTAACTTCCCAGATGTAGAATTTGAAAAAAAAAGATAATCATTTTAATATTCTAAGCCACCCAGAGTTACCACGTGGTAAAATGGGTGGCTAATAAATTTAAGTAAACAAAATTTTAAATTACAATACAATTCACACAAAACATTCCCCTCCTGCTGACAGAGTTAAATATGCTTGTGACTGTGACTGTGATAAAAAGTGTTCCTGCATAAACCTATTTCTCAATGAATTGGAAAATATGTTTCTACTGCACATTTGAACTAAACAGTCACATTTCTGAAGGATATTATCAACATTTAAATGAAGCTTTCCGTAACCCATATTAACCATAGCAACAAATTCTGAACAGATGCCTAAAGACTGTTTTAAGACAAGAGAAATAAGTTGAAACATAGGATGGGCAAAGTAGCGATAAGATACCATGGCTGGGAAATCTATGACCCTGAACAGAGGTGTATAATCAGTTTTACATGAAGCTAGACTTCTGAAGTCTAATATCATTATTGCAGGTGGAGAGCTTGAATGATGGATTTAATGCCTTCAGTGGAGATACAAATTTTATTTATAATCCACAGTATCTCTTATTACCACTGGCTAGTGTGCCAATATGCACATATTGGGAGAAGGCAGACCTTATCATAATTATAGTACATTTCTTTTTAATTATATCCAGGATACAAAATGGGAAAATGAAAAGTGTGTTAATCTATGGTACTTAATGACCTCCAAATGCCTTCAATTATAACATTAATTGGGTCTAGCAGGGCAAATAATCAAAGATTTTGGGATTTATGGGAAGCTGGTTCTAAAACTTTTTACTGTTAACCATGGCACTGCGGGTTAAAATTTTTACATTTATTCTATGCCAAGAACTGGTTCACCTAAAGTGTTAATTCCATGATTTACTTAACATCATGTGCAGCAGCTTGCAAATTCTATGTGGCTGGCAAAACCCTTTTTGTATCATTCCTGAATCTCCCAAAAATTATATTGCTAAATTTCAATGGCCAAGAAACAGAGGTACAATTTCCTGCTAAAACAAAAATACACTGCAAGACTGCTTGTAGGCTTAATACACCAAAATCCAATTAACAAATGGAAATAAACATTTAAAAACAAAAATATAACAACTTACCCATAAAATGTGAGGCGAAGGAATCCAATGCGCTGCCCGAGCTTCAGAATTTCTCCCTGTTTAATAGCAGCTCCCCTTAGTAGCACAATTCCCACCTTTTTAAGGGTAACCAACCACTTGTATGCACTTTCATCATTGTGCAATACCTCTTCAAAGTCCATAGTAGGGAGCTCAAGATCAGAACCCCAATACTGGCGCTCTGCATAAGATATATATATATATATATAAAAATCAATTATTATGAATTACTTTTATTATTATTACAGAGAATTCCATTTTATTCTGTGTTGATCAGACTTCAACTTGGGTTTCGTGTTCAGTTTTAGATATCATATTATACATTCCGAGAAGATCAAGGGGGAAGAATCAGTCATATGAAGGGTGACTGAAGTAATTTGGTAATATATACACTTCACCAGAGGAGAGTAAGTGGAGGACTTCTAAATCCTAAAATGTTGTTAGAAAGATTTAAGACATCTTTAAAATGGGACGCAAAACAATGGATTCCAGTTATAGGAAGGCAGATTATAGGTCAATATTTAAAAAAAATTCTAGCAGATAGTGGAAGGAATTAGTCAGAGAATCAGGATGATATATAGTTATACTAGCTTCCCTGTTGTGTAGTAACCTCTCTGCCTGAACTGATAAATTTCATCTCCAAGTTGGTATGGAAATCCCAAGGCTTGTTGTTTTGGGGGGACTTCAAATTCCCCTTAGGTGAGGCTGAGGCTGGGTCAGCTCAGGAGTTGACATCTACCATGGTAACTATGGAGCCACCCACATAATTGAGAGATTGACATGTACCAGAGGTCACATACTAAATCTGGTTTTTATTTCGGGGCAATATGCATTTGGCTCTTGAGGATGTTACAGTTAATCTTTTGCCATAGTCAGATAACTCCTTAATTTGTTTTTTAGCCTACTAATGCTACCTCCTCCAGAAGGAAAATAGGCCCTATTAGATTAATCTGCCATAGACAATAAACCCTGCTGGCTTCCAGAAGAAGCTTGGATTTTTTTTCTTCTTAAGAATCTGATGAGCATTTTAGCTGAGACTTTGATCATTGCCTGTAACAGGGGTCTTTGGCTGAATTGCTGCCCTACAGCCTCCAGCTGATCCTGGAGAGATGCCTAGAACTCTGCTGGAGGAAGATGAAGAGCAAACCAGAGCACAAATAGGATCCCATATTAGCAATTACATTGTGGCAATAAGAGCAGCAAAAAAATATTTTTCTACTATTATCATGTCCACAAATAGTCATCCAGATTCCCCTTTTTAAAATGATCCATACCCTGCTGGGAAAGAACGAATTATAGGACCATCTACAGAGTGACTGTGAAGAATAGTGGCAAATAAAGTTTTAAGGATTCACTTGAAGCATTGTGAGTCTTAATTAATGTTGGAAGCAAGGTCTTACATGAGTAGCTGAAATGGGTTTGAGCCTATAACTCAGTCCGCAGGCCGAATGCATCATGCCGAAATCGCGTCCACCCCATCGCCAGTAATGGGAAAAAAGTCGCAATACATCGGGACATCTCACATGACATTGTGAGTTTGACACCCCTGCTATAACTCCTGAGGAGGTGAACAATATCCTTGGATGGCTAATAAGACCAGATGTTTATTATATCCATGTCCCTCCTGATTGCCTAAGAGTGTCCAGAAGGTAAAAGGTTGGATACATACTGAGGGAAGGGATGATATGTCCACTCAAGAGACTTTGCTGAAACTAACTTGTACTGCATCATTTTCATCCCATTTCCAACCTGGCCTTATAGAGAAGGTTGAAAAAGTGATTAGGCTGTGATTAAAGAGGTCCCTGGTAGAAATTGATATATCTGAACTCCTCCCAGTTAGATTTCAGACTTGGATATAATAGTGAGAAGCTCAAATTGCTCTTGTTAATAACTACTCAATTTGATGAATCCAGAACAGGAGAGCAACAATAATTACTCTGTTGTTTTCAACAACATTGAACATGGCACCCTCTTGGTCTACCCACAGGGTTTAGGAATGGATACACAATGTTGCAATCTTTCACTTACTATCTCTATGGTTGGCTTCAGTTGGTTTGATAGGAGGGAAGAAATCAAGTCCATAGCATGGGGGATAATTCTCGCCTCTTCTATTTAACATTTACCATCAGGTGAGGACATTCATTGATTTGTGGTTATATATAATCAATATATGGAGGATACTTAAGATTCCAGACTATCTAGGCAATGGTGGAGATTGTTGGAAGGAACAGGTTCAAGCACATCCCTGACAAAATCTAGCAATAATTGGGTTTTGGACGCCACAGAGATGGGAATTATTCATCATTAAACCTGCCCCCTTCAGAAGTAGTGCACAATTTGGGGGTCTCCATGAACTTGTAGTTACTGTAAAAGGTGGGAATTTGGTTATTAAGGTCTTCATTTAAGTCCATCTTGTATGGCAATTATGCCCTTATCTGGACTGGGAGGCCTTTCAGATCAGCACTCACACATTGGTCATCTCACATATGTATGATGGCAATGTGCTCTAGTTGGGGTACCCTTGAAAACTACATGGAACTGCGACTAATACAGAATGCAGTGACATAGGTAATTAGGGGCATGCCATGTCGTGCTCATTTAACACCTTTGCTACATGAACTGCATTGGTTTTCAATAGATTCTAGGTGCAATTCAAGAATTGCTTATCACCTGTCAAGTTCTTCATAGCACAGGGCCTGGATAGCTGTTTTGTGTAGTTTCTGCTCAGATGAAATAATCAGAAATAGTAGATATGCGTCTGTCTCCTCCAAGAAACAGTCATCTAATGGGACTAAAATTTAGAGGGCTCCTACGCTTTTGGCCTTCCAGGAAGCCATGAAGACCTGGTTCTTCACCCAGAAAGTGAATTGAGCCAGCATATACGCAGCCAATGTGAAGTTGTTATGGTGTCTTGGATAGTGTAATGAGATTTTTTTGGGGGGCGGGGGGAAGTTATACTTGTATTGTTTAGTATATTTATATTAGTTTGGTTGTTAGTTGCTCAGGGTTATATTGGGAAAATGGGTGGCCCTATAATGCTTTTGAAATAAATAAATGACTCTTTAAAATGGCTATTGTTCTATTTCCCACATACCTAGAAAAGTTGCAAAGTTCCTCATCAGGAACTCTCACAATGTGGTTGTAGCCCTTTGCAACCTCTCATGAAATGACACAGCTGGGGGAATTCTGTCTGCCAAAAGGAAAAGCTTTTCTTGTTGTTAAAAATACAGAAAAAGGCTAAATTTCAAAAGTAACATTAGGAAATTTCTCAGGATAGCAGTTACTCTTTTAAATTGTATATATAATGTTGCAAGATGTAAATAATTACAAACTTTTAAGGAAAATCTGAAAAACTCTTTACATTTTACAAACAACCTAAAGTATTGCCTAACTCAGAGATCGGCAACTTACACACTAAAGAGGCATTTGGACCCGTTTCCCACACACACACAAAAAAACCACCAGGAGTCACAAAACTCTGTTGCTTCCCCCCCCCCCCCAGCACTCCACCGCCGCTGCTGCAGCGGCGGAGTGCCCTGCCGCCGCCTTTCTCTACCTTCCCTGCACCAAGCGCCCTGCCACCGCTTTCTCCAGCAGCGAAGGTGGAGTTTGGGAGGCAGCGGCAGGTCATAGCCCAGGCATGGCCCAGCAGCAAAGTTTGCCTTCCCCACTCAAGGCCCAGCAGCAGGATTGTTCTCAATAAGGCGGGCGCACACGAGTGAGCAGCACACCCGGCTCTTATTGTTTGAGAGCAATTCTGCTGCTGCACCTCCGCTTTTTTCACCCATGATCCCCCCTCCCCAGCCAGCCAGCTTTTCATGAATTTAACATGGACATAAAAATGTTTCACCACCCTTATCAATATTACAAAAAAAAGTTTAAGAACTTTAATTGTGCTTGATCAGGTTCACTCATTTTCCTCCAGTCACTCTCTGGCATCTCTTACTCACTTCATCATCCTCTGAAAGTCAGAGGACTCACAATGATCCACACTCATAGAGAGGATACTGCAATGTAATCTGAGCTGTCATAAACTTTTATTCCAGCATGATTATAGCAGGTTATTCTCTATCTCTCTATGTCTCTGTCTCTGTCTCTGTCTCTCTCTCTGTCTCCCTCTCATTACAATGTTCTCTGTTTTAAAAATATTTTTATTAAGGATTATAAATGAAAAGAGTAAAAGCTGGTGCAAACTATAAAAACTACAAATAGAAAAGAAAAAAATTGCAGGGGAAAAAAAGAAAAGGAGAAAGAGGAAAAAAACCCTTTCTCCTTCATCCCCAAAGGTAAAAACGATCAGGGAAGAGGGGAGGAAGCTGCTCCCCTTGGGTACTGTATTGTTGCGCGCTGCCGGGGATGGAGGAAAAGTGGGGGGTCAATTGGGAGCTTAGTCCAAGAAGGAAGCTCTCTCTCTCTCTCTTCAACCATGATCCCCCCTCCCCAGCCAGCCAGCCACCACTGCCAATCTTCTCCTACCTGGCCAGCCAGCCTCATGCTCTTCTCCTCCTCCTCATCTTCCGCACTCAATCGGCTGCTAGCGGCTTGGGTGGCTCTGCTCCATCCGAGTTGAAGAAAGCAGAGGTGCAGCAGAAAGCAGCTTTCTTCAACTCGGATGGAGCAGAGCCACCCAAGCTGCTAGCAGCTGATTGGATGCGAAGGATGAGGAGAAGAGTGTGAGGCTGGCTGGCCAGGTGAGGAGAAGATCGGCGATGGTAGCTGGCTGGCTGGGGAGGGGGGATCATGGCCACTGGGAGACTCTGCAAAGCCTTATGGCAGTGGCATTGGCAGCTCCCCCCACCCAGCCCATTTCCCCAGCTCCGTATAAGATGCTTGGCAGAAACCCCCGTCTCTCGCACCCCTGATCGGACCCACGTGGCACCTTCTTTCCAGGTCCACCACCATAGTCCTCCGTCTCTTCCTCTGCCACCGCATGCAGTCCCAAAAAGAAAAGAAGTTTGTGGGCAGTCCCACAAACAAAAGAAGTGGGACTAAAAAAGTTCAATCAATCAATTCCAACTTCGCGAGATCTTTTTTTTTTTCGCAAGAAGTTGGAATTAATTGATTGAACTTTTTTAGTCCCATTTTTTTTTTGTGGTACTGCAAATGGTGGAGGACTGGGAGCCGTAGTAGAGGGATGAAAGAGCCGCATGCGGCTCCAGAGCTGCAGATTGCCGACCCCTG